TTTATTTACAAATATTTTGACCATTAAAATACATTAAAAATACCTTCAGTTCCTTTAAAATATTATTTTCAGCAGTTGCTTCAGTAAACCAGCTCTATTTATGTTTCCTATTTTTAGCTTTTAGCTTGCCTTTTGACAGCGTTTACCTTTTATTTAACATTTTGTTCCTTTTAGCTTTTAGTCAGCCTTTTATTACTACAAGCTTTATTTTTTACATTTCCATGCTAAATTAGCTTTTAGTTAGCCTTTTAGCTAGTTTTACCTTTTGACATTTTTTGGTTTTGCTTTTAGCTAACCATTGCTAAGTTTTACTTCTAGTGTTTTGCTACTTTTAGCTAACAATCAGCTATTTTAAACTGTTAGCCTTTTGATACTTTTAGCTTGCCTTGTGCTGGTTTTAGTTAGCATTTAATTTGAAAAATTTAGCTTTTTTCCCCTAATCTTTTGCTTCTTTTGCTAGTTTCAGCTTATCTTATTTTGCAACTTTTATGTTTACTTTTTAGTTAGCCTTTTGCTACTRTTAGCTTTTAATTAGTTACTTTWAGTCATGTTTTTTGCTACTTTTGCCTTTTAATTCATATTTTGCTGCTTTTAGCTAGCTTTTGCTACTTCTACTTTTTAGCTAACATTTTGCAGCTTATAGCTGTTGTAGCTCTATATGCTAAATAGCACGGAGGCTGCAGGTTTCCTCAGACYCCTGCTGAGAATCCAGCACTTCTCTGAGCTCGACTCGTCATCCTGRGCCTCCGTGACTCCAGGAGCTCGGTTCTCCACCGGACCCTCAGCAAACCTCCGGATAATTTAATTTACGGTGTTAACGGGCTTGAATTTCATTTCTCGGACATCTGTCCAGGTTCAGGAGCCAGAGACGGAGGACAGTGGACCTGGACCCGGGCCCGGGCCAGGCGAGGTGAACAGCTGGGACATCAACTCTGAACGGGTCACCACCTCTGTGGGCAAACTCTGCAAAACCGAGTCCCAGAACCACATGTCTCCCAGGTACGGCTCACAGTGGACCCTCGTCCGGGTTTTAAAGGTCCTGYACCTGGTTTTGGTTCTTATCCTGAGTCCGGTCCGGTGACTCTCCTCATGTTTGGTTCTCAGTAAAGTGGAGAACCGGCTGCAGAGGCGTCCTCGCAGCACCTCCATGAAGGACCGGCAGAACTCCAAGGCTCAGAGCGACAGAACCAGCAGCATGGAGAGTGAGTGCTCCCCAGACTCGAGGCTCATCGCACAGGTACACACACACACACACACACACACACACTCACTCACACACGCACACTTGTAGATTTAGTTTGGTCTACTTCTGTTTGTCTTGAAGGTTCCCAGGAAGTCGGTGTACGACCAGCTGAACCAGATCCTGATCTCAGACGAGCGCCTGCCTGAGAGCATCATCCTCATCAACACCACTGAGTGGCAGGGACAGGTGAACCTCCGAAACCTGATTCAGCATTTATTTATTACAGCTGCTTCTGGAAACTTAGCGTCATTTTAGCTGTTCTGTTATCAAAAGCTTCGGCTCATTCAGGAGGGATGGGCGCTGTGATTTGGGGTTTTGTAACTTAGATAGGAAAAATATTTAACCTTATTTACAAATATTTTCCCTGTAGAAATACACTGGAACCTGTTCAATTCACTAAATCTGCTTCAGCATTCATCCTCTGTTTTATGTTAGTTTTAGCTTTAAGCTTTTTAGCTTTTTGCTACTGTTAGGATCGATACCTTGCTTTTATAAATCATTTCATGTTTTCAAAGAAACTCTGCTAATGATAAAGGAACTACAAACAAAACAGCTTTTTGCTACTTTTAGCTATATATTTTCTACCTGCAGCTAGTCTTTTGCTGCATTTAGCTAGCACTTCACTACTTTTGGCTTTTAGATYGGCTTTTAATGCTTTTAGCTCACTTTGTTCTACTTTTAGTTTTTAGCTACCATCTGCTTCTTTTAATTTAAATCATTTTGCTGCTTCTAGTTTTAATGTTGCCTTTTGCTTGTAGTTAGAATTTTGCTACTTTTAGCTATGCTGTGATACATTTAACATTTAGCTATCCTTTGCTAATTTCACCTTGCCTTTTGCTGCTTTATGCTAGTCRTTAGCTGCAGTTAGCTAGGACTTTGCTACTTTTGGCTTTTATATAACTTTTTATTAGTTTTAGCTAGCCAGCTGCTGCTTTCATTTTTTAACTAACTTTTTAGATCATTTTTTCCTACATTTAATTTTCAGCTACTGTCGGCTACTTTTGACTTTAAAGTTGTCTTTTGCTCTTTATGCTTTTAGTTAGCATTTTGCTGCTTTTAGGTTGTAACTAAACCTTTGCTGCTTTTACTTTTTATTTAGCTATTTTTAACTATATTTTGCTCCTTTTGAGTTAGCATTCTGCTCCTTTAGCATAGGTTATGCTACTTTTAGCTATGTTTTGATCTTTTGAGTTAGCATTTTAATCGTTTTAGCTAAGGTTTTGCTCGTTTTAGGTAGTGTTTCGCTCTTTTTAGTTAGCATTCTGCTCCTTAAGTGTAGGTTATGCTGGTTTTAGCTTGTGTTTTGCTACTTTTAGCTATGTTTTGATCTTTTGAGATAGCATTTTGATCATTTTAGCTAAGGTTTTGCTCTTTTTATTTAGCATTCTGCTCCATTTAGCTTAAGTTGTGCTGTTTGTACATAGTATTTTGCTACTTTTAGTTACGTTTTGCTCCTTTGAGTTAGCACTTTGATCTGTTTAGCTTTAGTTTTCCCGCTTTTACTTAGTATTTTGCTCTGTTTAGTTAGCATTCTTATCCTATTAGATTGTGTTTTGCTCCTTTTAGCTGAAGTTTTGCTGGTTTTAGATAGTGTTTTGCTCTTTTTAGTTAGCATTCTTATTCTATTAGCTTGTGTTTTGGTGGTTTTAGCTGATGTTTTGCTGGTTTTAGGGAGTGTTTTGAATGCTTTAACGACTCTGTTTCAGTTTTAACATGTTTCTGTAAAACATTGTTTTAGTTTTCTTTCTTTCGGACTGAAACAGGTGGTTTTCAAACGACGTGTTTTAAGCTCCAGATTTTTGCCGACGAGACAAAGCTAGAAATATTTGTTCAGTGTTTTGGCCTCCACTCTGTGGCTCCGCCTCCTGTTTTTGGCTCCGCCTCCTGTGCGTGTGTTTCCTCACGGTGTCCGTCTGGTTCGTGTCTTTGTTCAGTACGTGGCCGACCTGCTGCACGAACAGGCCCAGCCCATCGTGTCCACCTGCTCCGCCGCCGACGTTCAGGCCGCCTTCAACACCATCGTCACTCGCATCCAGAGATTGTGAGTGGCCTGTTCGATACGTTACCGTATTAATCCCTCTGAGACACGAGTTTCTGACCGGGAGCCTCACAGTTTGATCGTTTCTTTCTGTTTTTCCTCCTCGCTGCTCCTCCTGACCTTTGACCCCTCTGCAGCTGTAACTGCAACGCCCAGACTCCGCCCACGATAAAGGTGGCGGTGGCCGGCGACCAGAGCTACCTCAGCACCGTCCTGAGGTTCTTCGTGGAGCAGCTGGCCAACAAGACCCCCGACTGGCTCAGCTACATCCGCTTCCTGGTGATCCCCATCGGTGCGTGTCCGCCTCGACGCCTCAAAGACGTTTTGTTTGTCGTTTTTTTATATCGTTGTTTATTTTCTGTGATTTCTTTCAGGTTCCCACCCGCTGGCGAAGCACGTGGCGTCGTTCGACAGCCGCTTCAACAGCCTCTTCATGGACACGGCTTGGAGGGAGCTGTTCTGCAGGACGGAGCGACCCACGTCAGGTGGGAGCCTGAAAATTAAAAAAAAAAAAAAACCTGAAAGTGGAATGTGCAGCCGACTTGAAAGGGAAAGAAAGTGGGTCAGACAYTCACAGGCGGCTGCATGGCTGAAGGATTTACAGCTTCTGCTCCACGATTTAAAGCTGTCAGAAGACTGTTCAGTCACGTCCTTTCATGTCTGAAAATAACACCAAACTCTTCTGTTTTTACACATCTGCAGCGTTTCTACCCGCACAAGTAAAAAAATCTGAGGGATATTCAAACAAAGGATTAATCATTTTAAAATTTTTCCGCAGCTTTAAGCTGTTGTATCWTTAATTTATTCTTCCGCCCACTTGATCTCGGTGAAAACGACGGTTCTCGGCTCGCTCACAAATTCACATTCAAGTCGCTTTTTCAGATCTTCGTCTCTGTTTCTGTTCTAACGAGCCGTCATCGTCCGCTTCTCCCAGTTAATTCAGACCTCAGTCGTACAGCAGTTACAGCTTCACACGTCGTGTTGAGTCACATCAGAACACGACGGATCAGAACGTTAAAAATGCAGCAATGAGTGGGATCCTCAGCAAATTTTATATATTTATTATTTTAGCTCCAATCCTTTTATATTTTTGTATCAGAAGCTGTCGGTCCAGAAGAGGAGCCCACAAGCCTTTTGTCTGATGTGTGTGTGTGTACTTGTTTTAACAACAGACTGAGGACCATGTTAGGTTTTTAATCAACAAAATGAGGTCATTTTTGGAAAATAAGGACATTTTCCCGGTCCCCACTTTGTTTGCAGCTCTGCTGTGCTTTACTAGTTAGGTTTAGAGGTATGGTGTGAGTTAAGWTTTGGTTCAGGCTAATGTTAACTATAGACCAGTAATGGTTCATTTTAGAGGAAATGTCTGGGTGAGGCATAAATAAAGTTATGATAATGATTGGAAGTCAARACAAAGTCCTTAGTTTGATGCAAATACAAGGATGTGTGAGTGTGTATACTTGTTTTTGTTATCTATTTAGGACAGTTTCTGGTATACACACCTACCTTGTCAAGACCAGCATTCCTAATGGGGACCAAAAGACCGGTCCTAATGTGGTGGAACTCCATTTTTGGGTTTGGGTGTTAGGGTTAGGACCAAGGTGTGAATTGAGTTTAGGTTAGTTTTAGGGTCAGGTACCCGAGAGGTTAGTTTTAGGGTAAATGGTCAGGGTTAGGATATAAAATTACCAAAAAATGAATGGAAGTCAATGGAAAGTCCCTCATCTTAATCTTATCTTTTTGATTCTTTTTTTAATTGTTTGTTGTGAATTTGGTCTTAAAATAAATTTCAAGTGGCATTAAAGAGGCCTTAAAAAGTCTTAAATTTAACTTGTTTTAAGCTGTAGGAGCCCTGTGGAGGATGCATTGGTAAATATAGGGATGCAAGTTATCGATTAATGGATTAATTTAAAGTTGACTGATATTATCAATCGACTAAAGATTAATTGATAAGCTGCCATTTTCCTAAAAACCTGACATTTCTCTTGAATCGAGGTTTTTTCTATGACATGAAGGGCTAATTTTTTACACACCACATTAAAAAAAGTTCAGTGTTATTTTTTATAAAATGTATTGTGTCAGCTGTATTAAGCACTGACTGAATAAACAGAAAATTGTGGATTTCTCTCACATTAATAAACTTGGACATATTTACAAAATATAACAAAACAGGAATCAATTATATTGCTAATTGAGAAAAAAAAGGAAAGAAAAAAGTAAAACACTTGATCCTCTCTGAACAGAGAAAAGAAAACTAACATTTAAACACAGAGTAAGATTTTAATCTAAAGATTTACTCAAAAACAAACTATAAACATGACCTGAGAGAGGTAAACATACAAATAAGAACTGGAACTGTTTGTTTACCCTGTGGTTCACGCTGCTGCCATGATCTGACGTCAGTTGRTGTTCYTTTGATTGGTTCACTGGCCGGGTCACACAGATGAGATTAACTTCAAGTTAATTATTTGTAGTGACTAARTTTTTTTGTTTTGTTCTTTCACACGGAGTTAAACTCTACAAGAAGAAGCTAAAYTTAGCTTAGCGTTCTCTCTGTCGTTCTGCTCTCGTCTTTAGCGTCAAACGGCTGGATGGTACACGGTACAGCCTTCAGTACTTTTCCTTCCAGTTTGGTGTAGTCCATTATTACTTTTGTGTCATAAATAAAACTAAACAAGATTTTCGCGTTTAATTACGACGTTAGAGTTAGGTCAGGCTGAGAGCAGTGGCGCCATCTACTGGATGAGGTCAAAACTACACTGAAATAAGGTTACAGACGTTTTCAATTAATTGAATGGAAGTTTTAATCTAATAAACCATTATTTGACAATTAATCATAAGTCGATTAATTGTTTGCATCCCTAGTAAATATATTTATTCAAAATAAACTGAAACTATGTATTAAAAAGCAATAATAACTAATAAAACCTAACAGACCCACTGCAAAAACTAATTAAAACTGATTTAAAAGGAAAAAAAAGTCATAATGAAATAAAACTAACCCTTGGTTTCTTCTCGTCTCTCTCTGCAGATAACATCGACGTGGCGGGACGGATCGTTCAGTATCTGGTCGGCGCCAACGTGTCYCACCAGTTCCCCATCTCTGAAGCCATGCTGACGTACAAACAGAAGAGGTGAGCGCTCTGCGGTCGCTGCTGCTTTCCCCGCTCTCCGTGTCCGTTCACATTTATCTGTCTGTGTCGTAACTGATCGTTGCTAATATGAATGTTTTTAATTTGTTTATAAAAACCAGCTAAACTGCACTCCCAGTTTCCTCTTTGTTTTTTTAGGTTCAGTGAAAATCAACATTTGATGAAGTTAAAATGATCGAACGGTTCCTATTAAAAAAAAACCACCGAGTCCAGTTTTAACACTGATGCATTCCTTCTCCCCTTTTCCCCTTTTTGATTTGCTTTCAAGGAAAAGAAGTTTGTATTTTGATTTTTATATCAGGTATTTAACTGAATCCTCTTTTMGTTTTGCCCTTTTCTTTTCTTTTTTTTCTCTTCTCCTCCATTCGGCCCGAGCCTCCGTGCTGTGTTTTAACATTTCCCTTCTTTCACACTCGATGCTCACTCTGTCCTGACTRGTGTCTCTGGTTTGACTTGATTTTGTCCTGTGTGTCGTTGCTGTGAACAGATTTGCCTGACAACCTTTACAACTAACACACAACCAGCAGTGTTTGTATCGCCAGCCGTTATAACCACCTCCGATGTTTGGCCTGTTTCAGACGTTCAAAATCAGCCGAATTTCAAAATAAAGACATAAAATGAAATAATAATAAAGCTTAAGTTTAAACAAAATAAAATAAAACAAACCTGTGACCTTTAAATAGTCGGTATCATTGCCCCATATTTYTCCATCTGTGAAATTTGACCTTTCTGTGTTAAATGGTTTTCAAATGAGAGCCATTAAAAAAAGGGCATGACCTTTGACCTTTACTGTGACTTTTAAAATCAATATTGATCTTTGACCCATGAGGTGTCTACCTGTGAAGTTTGACATTTCTGTGTTTAAAGGATTTCAAATTAGAGCTATCTAAACTCTGGTAACCTTTGACCTTTGACCCCATGACCCTAAAATCACTAACATTGACCAACAACGTGTGCAGCTGTGAAGGTTGATGTCCTGAAGTTACACGTTTGTAGAGGTAGAGCTTGAAGAAGATTGCGCCCACCAACTGAAATTTTAGCCATCTTGACAGGCTAATTAGCTTAGCTAYCTGGCGGTGATCGCTCTCGGCTACCACCGCGTCAAAAGTTTAGCTTAATAAATTCAAAATTGATTCAACTGAATGTTGAAAGTACTGAACTGAGCACAAATCAGCATAAAAGCACCTGGAAAGAGTTAACCAATGCTAAAGGTAGCGAAAATAAGCAAAAAGAAGCTAAAAATAGCAGAAATAAATTAAATTTAAGAGCCAGACATGAAGAGGAGAGGGAAGTTTTTCAAATTGGCAAAAAAAATAAGAAAAGAAGTATAAAAGTCTTGTAAATTGTTTTGAAATAGCTAAAATGCTTAAACTAGCTTGAAATCTTTTTTAAAAAGTAGCTGAAATTAACACAAAGGAACAAAAAACGTATTTCCTTAATTAAGCAGTAAGAAGCTGACATTATTACAAAAAAGTGAATATTCCTGAAAAAAAAGCTAAATTTCGCTGAAATTATCTAAAACAGAAAACACCTGAAGGTAGTATAAAAGCTTAAATTAGAAAAACGTAACTGGAAAAAGAGGGCACAAAACATTGAAATTCGCAAAAGGTGTCAGAATGATAGCTAAAAAAGCAGAAAAAAAAGCTAAAATCAGCAAAGTAGAAGCCAAAGAAAGCTGAAATTAACACAAATAAGTAAAAAAAAAACAGAAATAGAACAAAAGATCAAAGAAAGCAAAGATTTACAAAAAGTTTGAGGARGTTGAAGACCTCTACAATCATCCTCAGAACAAAATGTCTGAAAAAGCTGCAGAGCTAAAAAAGTATAAATTGCTGAAGTACCAAAAGTCGTAACTGGAAAGTCCCGATGGAGCCGAACGTTTTCATGTATAAATTGTTGAAATGGCACAAAAATTATGGAAGTAGTTATGTGTCGAAATGTACGGAAGAAAAAAATTATAGTGAGAATAGTTTAGAGCATTATTTTTATTATTATTATTATTATTATTATTATTAGTAGTAGATTATTAATATTGTTATTATTATTATTATTATTA